GATAATTTAGTTACCCATATGTATATAAACATTTCTAGCAGCAATTTTAGAAATATAATACCTCCTTGGAGGTATTTAACAAGATATAAATTTGATTTTTGGCTAGCTTTCACTACTTCTTAAGATAGAACTTGAACATTGGGGCAGATCCCAAAGCAAATACTTTAACTACAATAGTTATGCACAAGAAAGTCCTGTAAATAATCTATCCGTGACAAGCTACAAAGTCAATATTCAAATGTCCCAAATCTTAGACTCCTTTATTTAAAAGAACTAACCAACAAAGAATTTACTAAGCCCACTTTTTTTTTTTTTTTTTTTTTTTTTTTTGAGACAGTCTTGCTCTGTTGCCCAGGCTGGAGTGCAGTGGTGCAGTGGCACGATCTTGGCTCACTTCCACCTCCTGGGTTCAAGCGATTCTCTTGTCTCAGTCTCCTGAGTAGCTGGGATTACAGACACCCTCCACCATACTTGGCTTATTTTTTGTATTTTTAGTAGAGGTGGAGTTTCACCATGTTGGCCAGGCCAGTCTCGAACTCCTGACCTCAAGTGATCCGCTGGCCTTAGCCTCCCAAAGTGCTGGGATTATAGGCGCAATTCACCATGCCCGGCCTAAGCCCACCATTCTTTTCAGCTGTTTGTACCTTTAGATAAAGTTATTGCTACTCTCTTCTGTGGTCTATAATTTGTGAAAAACTAATTATGATGCAATTTCAACAAATGTATTTGTTCAGTTCTATTTGATTTTCTAATTCATGTTGCATGAGTAATAGATGCACTGATGAAGTTAGCACATTTTAACAGTTTTCCTTTCAGAATGTGCTTTTTAACAGAATGCTAGCAGATTGTTTGGCTGTTATTTTAATTATATTACAGTCCATTCACAAACGGTACAACCACAAATTATACAATAAACCTAAAATTTTTTAATTCTGTTTTTGTATTTGGAACAGTCTAGTCCAACTGTATTTAAAGGGAAAGTTAATTTATTCAAAGCGTATTTTTAAGACCTTTTCATTTTGGTTAAAAATGGTGACATACAGCTGGGTGTGGTGGCTCATGCCTATAATCCCAGCACTTTGGGAGGCTGAGGCGGGCAGATCACGAAATCAGGAGTTCAAGACCAGCCTGGCCAACATGGTGAAACTCCGTCTCTACTAAAAAATACAAAAATAAAAATTAAAAAATTAAAAAAAATTAACTGGGCGTGGTGGCAGATGCCTGTAATCCTAGCTACTCAGGAGGCTGAGGCAGGAGAATCGCTTGAAACCGGAAGGCAGAGGTTGCAGTGAGCTGAGATCGCACCATTGCACTCTAGCCTGGGCAACAAGAGTGAAACTCCATATCAAAAAAAAAAAAAAAAAGACATACCAAACCGTTTTAGATCCTAAAGGATTCCTAATATGGCATTATAGACCAAATGTGGTACATTCAGTCCAAAACTTATGTTCTAAGATGGAGCAGAAAACAAACATAGTAACAAAAATGTTTTTTGCTGTAACCAAATACATGTAGGTAATTTTAAAAGTCTTTTGAGGGGAGGAGTCAATAATTGATTTTGTTGGTAGTGGAGAGAATGGGTGAACTAAATAATATTTAAAAATATATAGTGGTTTTCAGGCTGGCACGGTGGCATACTCCTATAATCCCAGCACTTTGAGAAGCTGAGACGGTAGGATCACTTGAAGCCGGGAGTTTAAGACCAGCCTGGGCAACATAGTGAGACCCTGTCTTGACCAAAACAAAAAAAAAATTAGCCTGGTGTGGTGGCATGCATCTGTTGTCTAACTGCTTAGGAGTTTGGGGCAGAAGGATCACTTGAGCCTGAGAGTTCGAAGTTGCAGTGAACTGTGATCATGCCAGTACACTCCCACCTAAGTGATAGAGTGAGACTCTCTCTCAAAAAATAAAATATAATGGTTTTCTAGTAGGAAAATGTACTTACATAGTTTTCCCTTATCCAGTCTCATGATAGCATTGTGAGGGAGGTATTACTTTATTTGACACTTGAGAAAACCAAATTGGACTGATTGACTTTACCATTTCACTCCTAGTAAGTAACTGCTGGAAATCAAACTCAGAACTTTGGAATTAAGCATCAAGCTCTTTCTATTAAACCAGATTTTTGTTTTCTATGTTTCAGTTTAAAAGAAGAAAAGAACAGTACTTGTTTTCTATAAATGTGTGATACATATTCTGTGCTGACAGATAATAAGCAATTCATTTTAAAATGTCATAAGTTCAGAATATAACAATGGGACTTGGCCTTTCAGATATATTACAGTGTGCTTAGATTTTCAAAAATTTTATTTCCATGCAGCTTATCAAGGATTTATTATTATTATTATTATTATTATTATTATTATTTTTTTTTTTTTTTTTTA